TCTCATCTTATCTCTAGGAGTAGGTCTAGGGCTAAGGGCTTTAATTCATCGTTTTGGGCATGATCATTGAAGGTGACCCTAGGGGATAGGACCCCAACTTCCGCCGGAAGCATAGCATCGCTTCCATATACTAAGGTAAAAGGAGTTTGCCCCGTAGCTTCCTTGGTAGTGGTACGAATGGACCACAAGATTCCGGGTAGGTCATCAACCCAAGAACCCTTTGTACCTTTAAGCATTGTCTTTAGCCCCTTCAAGGTTGTTTTATTAGATGCCTCGGCTTGCCCATTGGTTTGGGGTCGGCATACAGCTGAAAACCTTGTTCGAATTCTAAATCGCCCACAATATTCTCTTGTTGGCTTGCTGTTGAATTGACGGCCATTGTCTGAGATTAAGATCTGGGGTACCCCGAAGCGAGTGATAATGTTTCTCCATATAAAGTTCTGAATTTTCTTATCAGTGATTGTTGCCATCAACTCGGCCTCAACCCACTTAGTAAAATAATCAATAGCTACTATCAGAAACTTCCTTTGTCCCGAGGCCACAGGGAAAGACCCTAGGATATCCATGCCCCAACGATCAAAGGGTAAGACTGATTGAATGCTCGTGAGGGTGTTGGCTGGGAGATGGGGGATGTCAGCGAACATTTGGCATCTATCACATTTCTTGACAAGTTTCATGGCATCGTGCCTCAGGGTTGGCTAATAAAACCCGGCCCTCAGCGCTTTCTCAGCTATGGTTCTTCCACCTTGATGGTTGTCGCATGCCCCTTCATGAATTTCCCTGAGAACATAATTTCCCTCCTCTGGGGTGATACATTTGAGCAATGGATGCGTGAAGGATTTCTTGTAAAGGACCCCATCATGTAGTATAAACCACTCAGCACGCTTTTTGATGGTCTGATAGCCGGGGGTATGAGTTGGCAATTCCCCTTTCAAGCAAAGAATGATTTGGTCCATCCAAGTGTCCCCTCTATCGTTTTCCATAATAATAGGCTCATGGGTACTTGGCTTATCTAGGACTTCCCACATGATGGTTCGAGGGGTTGTTCCCTCGGTTGAGCTTGCCATACGAGCAATAGCATTGGCTTGCTGATTTTTCGAGCGGGGAATATGCTTTATCTCAAAACTTTCAAACGTCTTTGCAAGCTTCTCAGACTTTTCAAAATAGGCCTTCATATTCTCTTCTTTTACTTCAAATTCTTTTGTCATCTGCCCCACAATGAGCTGGGAGTCTGAGCATACTTGAACTTAGAGGTGGCTAGTGGGCCGGGTTGGACCCAGCCCACCCTGACCCGTACGGCTGGTGGGTCATGTGGGTCCAACCCGATTTTAACCCGGTACCAACCCAGCACAACCCAGGTTTAGCCCGGGTTGTGTCGTGGGTCCAAAATTTTCGACACAACTCATTTCATCCCAGCTCGTTTTAACCCGTTTGATTCGGCCCAACTCGCACAACCAGTTTTGATCCATTTAATTCGACATAACTAGCCCATGAACCCACCCAACCCGACCCAGCTCTCATGACCCAGCCAACCCGCACGGCCCACGACTCAGCCCACCCCGCACGCACGACCCACCTAACTCGCATGGCCCACCCACCCAACCCACACGGCCCACACAAACTTCTTATTATAAGTATCGGAGTGGTTTGATTAAATTATTTTGTACTTTTGATGGTCGTGTTAGTTTTACAAGTGATACATGAAGTTCTTGTTTTGGCGAATCTTTTCTTTGCATTACTGCTCATTGGGTTGATTATGATTAGTTTATTAAAAAACATATACTTTGTTTTCAAGCTATGGAAGAAAGGCATACTAGTTTTAAGATCAAATTAAAGTTTGTATTATGGATTGTTTAAGAGAATTTCACTTGAATGGTAAATTTTATTCTTTGTCTCTTGATAATATAACTGCAATCACAATGTGTATTAACTATTTGAAAAGTGACTCTAAGTTGAATTTGTTATTGGGTGGTAATCTCTTGCACGTTAGATGTTGTGCACATATTTTAAATTTGTCTATTCAAGAGGGTCTCGGTGAGTTGCAACCATTGTTAAACTCAATTAGATCGAACTGTTATAAAATGAATTAGGATTACTTCCTCGGTTATATGGAAGTACATGGCTATGAAAAAAAAGAGGTCTTAAGAAAATACAATGATCTATTGATACCCCTACCCGTTGGAATATAATTCTACTATCAATTTGTTGAATGATGCTATAAAGTATCGTGACGTTTTGACCCAACTTTACAATGAGACTCGTGTTGATCCTAATGAGTTAATAACCGAAAGTCATTGGACTAATGCCTCTTTTGTTCGTGGTGTTTTAAATGCTTTTGATAATGCAACTCATATTTTCTCTTATACCTATGAGCCTAACATTCATTTACTCATATTGGCGTGTGTTAAAGTTGTTCACACCAACGAAGAGCATATGAAAATTGATGGACTTTGTCCCGTTCTTGATAGTATGAAACGTAAATGGCATACTTATTTTAGTGAATTCTCAATTATTTATGGAATCGCTGCTATTCTTGACCTCGATGTCAAAGCTGAAGGTTTGGAAAATCTTTTAGAATTATAAGAATTACGTTGGCTTTGATTCCTTATTTTGTGATATAAGGATACGTAGGCATCTTAATTAAGAGCAAGCCATCAAATTGTTAATTTTGTAAAAATTAAACAACCTTAAAAATAAATATGTGCAAAATATTATTTCAAAACAAAAGTTCAAAATAAAAAACATACTTGGATATTTGACCCACACAACCCACTTAGCCATTTGGCCCACCCGATCCTAACCCGCGAACCAGATCAACCCAAACCCACGAACCCCACCTGACCCTAACCCAACCAACTTACAAACCCAGCTCGACCCACCCTCCAACCCACCTAACCCATGAACCCAGCTCGACCCATCGTGTATCATGAAACCCCAACCCGCGACCCACATAACCTTAACCCAGCTCGCACAACCCGCACGGTGGACACCTCTACTTGAACTGACTTGATCTTCATGAATTGACACAAATTTAGCCCCAAGATAAGAGCTTCATATTCAGCTTCATTATTGGATGCATGAAAAGCGAACTTGATGGCATATTCAAATTTCTCTCCGTCCGGGGAGGTGATGACTAGCCCAGCCCCACTCCTGGCCTTAATAGACAACCCATCAACATAAAGAGTCCAGGGGGTTGAGGTGTCCATTGGGGTAGGCTTGTGGGAGCATTCTGCAATAGAGTCGGCTAAGGCTTGGGCTTTTATAGCTTTGCGGGGATCAAATTCAATGCCGAAGTCTACTAGTTTGTCTAACCAATCTGTCATCCGAGAGGAATGATTCTTACTTTCTATCACTTTCTTAATAGGCTGGCTAGTGAGCACTTTGATTGGGTGTGCTTGAAAGTATGGCTTCAACTTCCTACTAGCCATCACTAAAGCGTACACCACTTTCTCGATGATAGTGTATCTTGTCTCAGCCCCTCAGAGAGCATGGCTGACAAAGTAGACGGGTAATTGGCCTTCCTCCCTTTCGGCCACAAAAACCGCACTCAAGGAATAGTCAGATATGGCCAAAATGTCTCCCCAGGCAGGGGGCTAACAAGCTTCGGGGTATTCATTAAGTTCTCTTTCAATTGCTGGAAGGCTTTTTCAGCTTCCTCATCCCACATGAACTTAGGCCGCTTAAGGGCCTTGAAAAAAATAAGCTTTTGTCGGCTGAATGGGATAGAAACCTTCCAAGCGCAGCTAAGAAACCCGTGAGGCGCTACACTTCTTTAACGTTCAGGGGGGATTCCATGTCAAGGATTGCTTGAATTTTGTCCAGGTTGGCATCAATGCTACACTGATCTACCATAAAGCCGAGGCACTTCCCCCCCTTGTACCCCGAAGACACATTTGCTGGGGTTGAGCTTCATTTTATATTTTCTAAGGGTGGTGAATGTCTCCCTTAGGTCTGCTATGTGATCTGAGCTTTATTTTCTTTTAACTATCATGTCATCAACATAGGCTTCAATATTTCGGCCCAGCTGTCCTTCAAAGATCTTGTTCATCAAGCGGTCGTATGTAGCCTTAGCGTTTTTCAAGCCGAAGGGCATGACATTATAGCAATACACCCCCTGACTTGTGATGAAAGATGTGTGGGCTTGATTTCTCTTGGACATGGGAATTTGATGATACCCGACATTGGCATCCATAAAACTCAGGAGGGCATGACTGGCGGTCGAATCCACTAACCTGTCAATCTTTGGCAGAGGGTGATCATTCTTTGGGCAAGCTTTGTTCAAGTCTGTAAAGTCCACGTACATGCGTCAAGAGCCGTTTGGCTTTTTTACAAGCACAACATTGGATAACCACTCAGTGTATTGGCATTATCGAATAAAACCCGCTTCGACAAGCTTTTTGACCTCTGCTGCTGCTGTTTGGTTTCTCTCCGGCCCGGCATGCCTTAGATTTTGCTTGATTGGCTTGTAGCCTTCCTTGATGTTCAACTCATGAGTCATGATTTTGAGGTCTATGCCCGACATCTCGTCTACTGTAAAAGCGAAGACATCCTGAAATTCTCTAAGTGTTTTAATGATTTTCTCCCTAAGTTGGGGGGTCTAAGTTCTTTCCCACTCTTACAATCCGAGCGGGATCACCTCCTAAGGGTATGATTTCATCTTCCTCAGTAGGCTTAGGCCTGCCATACTGCTTAGGGTTCTCAGCCATGTATATGCTCATCACTGGTGGTGGTGATTCATTTACCTCCATTGCCTTTCGCTTAGACCCCTTATCCTCTTGATTGACCGAGGCTTCAGGTTGTCTCAAGCTGTCCACGTAGCATCTTCTCCCTTCATACTGATCTCCATATAACTTCCCAACAGAGCCATTATCAGTTTCTAATTGGAGAAGTAGATGATAGGTTGAGATGGCGACTTTGACCTTGTTGAGTAAGGGCCGGCCGATGATCATGTTGTATGTCAAAGGAGTGTCAAAAACTAAGAATGTGAATACCAAGCTTCTTCATTTCCCCTTCTCCCCTAGGTGGATTGGTAGCTTGATTGTTCCCAAGGGATAAACATGTTGCCCCTCGAATCTGACTAATGGCTTCTCAAGGGGTGTGAGGTCTCCTCTGCCAAAACACATCTGTTCAAGGCACTTCCAAGTAATTATGTCAGCTGAGCTCCCACTATCCACCAAGATCTTCTTAACATTGGCACTGACCATCTTCATATGAATCACTAGAGGGTCATCATGGGGCCTTTGGATCTTCTTGGCAGCATCATCCCTGAATACCATGAGGTGGTCTTTAGGGGTGGATGTAGGGGTGCCAATATCATAGATGGGCTCCTCTAGCGACCCCAAATGACTTTTGCGTGCTCTATTAGACAAGCCCCCAGAAGCATACCCTCCGGCTATAACATTGATGCTTATGTTGGTGTTGGTTGAGCTATGAACCTCTTGCGCGACTCTGGAAGATTTGCTTTTTTGTTTGTCTCTTGGAGGATCCTTGAGGTATCGGTTAAGCTTGCCTTCATCTGCTAGCTTATCAAGTGCTCTCTTGAGTTCACGACAATTCCGGGTGGTATGACCACCTTCTCGATGGTACTCGCACCACAGTTTTTTGTTTCTTTGTTCTATTGGCGTGTTCATTGGATTCAGCTTGGGGAGGATAGCCTTGGTTTTTATGTCCGTATAGATATCACGCCTATCAGCATTGTATCTAAGCCCTTCATCATTACTCTCGACCCTCCTAGGCTTTCTGTTTTTGTTTTCTTGGTAGTTGTCATCATGCTTCCTCTTCCCTTTATCCTTAGCGGAGGGAGTCTTGCACACATCAGTGGCCTCGATGATGCTCTCGGCTCCCTCCATAGCCTTGGAGAAGGAGGTGACTTTATCATGAACAAGCTCGAACTTCAGCTTGTTAGACCTGAGCCTAAAGAGAAGGGCTGTGAAGGCAACGTTATCCCGGAGGTCTGGTATGAGCTGAGACTCGATGTTGAATCTTTTGATATAATCTTCTAGACTTTCATTCTCCCCTTGTTTCACAGTCATCAAGTGAACACTAGTCTTTGTCAGCCTACTGCCAGCGGTGATATGCTTCTTGAACAAGGTGGATAACTTCTCAAATGTCTTGATGCTCCCTGGGGCGAGGTTATTGAACCAAGTCTGAGCAATGACCTTGAGGGTGGTAGGAAAGAACCTACACCATGATGCCTCACACTCGGTTTCGACACCCATTTGTGCCTTGTAAGCATTCAAATGGTCTGTCGGGTCAGTTTTACCATCATAGGGCTCCAAAGTAAGTATCTTGACCTTAGGAGGAATTGGGGTATTCATGATCTCTTGACTGAAGGGAGTGATGTTCTTAACAGTTCCAAGCCTCCCCGGCTGGGGGAAGGGGGAACGTTTAGGACTTCCACTTGCTGAGTGAGCAGGTCGAGCGGAGGTCCCTCTTCTTTACCTTGAAGTGGCCGAGTTAGCTAAGCTATCACGGTATCTGGTTAAGACATGATGAGAGTGAACTCTAGTTCGACCTCTCTGGGGCGGATCATCTTCCTCCTTAGAGTTTTCCCGCCTTGAGTTGATTATGTCATGGGCATCCAAAGTTCCTTCCCTCAGCCTTCGGTCATTGATTATCTCTCTAGCATCTCTTGGTCGGCTTGGCTGTCCTGACTTCCGTCGGGCTACAAGAGATGGACATGGTCGCGAACGATGGGACTCTTAATGCTAAGCCGAGAGGATCCTTGGTGGAGTAGGGACAACTGCGGCTGAGGGTTAAGTTGAGGAACGTCCCCCAACCTACCTTGCCCCCCAACCTGGTTGACAAGTGCCCTAAGGCTCTCTTTAAGGTTTTGGTTGATTTGGGCTACAAGCTGCTCTAAATCCCGACGAGTGACTACATAGGGGCTAGTCACCTCTCCTACGGGATTGCTCCGAGCTTGGGGTACAATCTCTTCAAATATATGAGCATGCCAAGCCGAGAGAATTGGAGCTTGTCTAGTAGAACTTGAGACTTTCGGGGACGCCTAGCGTTCACCATAGCTTTTAGTTTATTGTCCTCACAGACGGCGCCACCTGTTTCTGGAAACAGACTACTCCTCAAAGCTTTAGGGTAGGGTATCAAGATGTCCTAGAAACTAAGTCCAAGTATTGTCCAAATGTTCTTCGGCTACGCCTAGCACGGGTATGTCCGAGAGCTCCGCTTGCACAGGTATGTCCGAGAGCTAGGCCTGCAAAACAGAGAAGGTTAGCTGCCCCGGGGTATGACCCGGAAAAGCCCTTCCGGTGCTTAAGTCAGCGAGTGTACTTTCTAGAGAGAGAAAGTAGAGAGAGTGTGTGTACTTAGAGAGAGAAAGTAGAGAGAGAATTAGGAAAAAAAAGTCTCTCTCATTAATGAATGATGAGCTATTTATAGTTATACTTTTCAGGTGGCAAAGTTGTACTTGAGTGGAGAGATTAAGGGTAAATCTGTACTTTGCCATGACTAATGATGGGATGGATCATGGACGGGTACTTTCGTCATTTTAGGTCACTGGGCCTAGGACAATGGACTTGGCCCAAACACATCTTATATGATACCAAACCTAACAAAAAAATAACACATTTACTTAACCTTATGAATAGTAAATATGGATCAGAGTACATACAAAATTATACTATTAAACATATGAAATACATTTTAATTTGATCATATTGATAACTAGAATATAAATTATTCCATATTTGTAAAGTGAAAATTTATCTACCAAATGAATGTTTAAAATTTAAAGGCTAATTATCAAACGATAATATATATATTATAGATTTTTTTCCCTTAATATTCTATGTTACCTCTAGATAGGTAGAAATCCTGGATCCGCCATTGACTGAAACACTCTTTATTTCGCAACTTTGTATTAGCTACTCAATACATTATTGTTTTATTATTTACTATTCAATTAATAAGCAAACCTCAATTCAATTTTTAATTTCAACTTCAATTCACTATTGAAATTTTGTAACCATTAGATTGGCATCAAATATTCCCACCATAATTTTTTTAGTTTCCTCTAATCCCTTCAATATCTAATAAAATTGACAAATTAAACATTTAATATTGAAGTTAAAAAAATTAACTATGATAAAATTACAAACAATGACCTGGAACATCATTCGGGCCAAAAACTAGTATAGCATTATAGCTTAAACAAGCTACAGACCTGGTTAAAAAAACGAAAAGTAAGCCTAATTTAAAATCTAACATAAGTATAATTAATTACAAAATATATTTATTTTTATGTGGAATTTGTCAGAAACCACCTTTGTAAACACCTTATAAATTTTTTTGTGATAAACTACCTTATATTTTTTTATATTTTTTTTTTCTGTAAGAACACCTAAACCAAACTTTTTTTACGAGATCATACCTTAGGCCAATTTTAGGGCATTGGCCTTGTTTTCCAGCGTTGACTTTGCACGTGTGGGTCACGTGACCTCATAAAATTAAACCACCCGCCTTTATTTTTCCCCTTAATTTTCCCACACTAATACTACTTCCCGCCACCTCACTGCCACCCTACAACACCACCTTACTGCCACCCTTACCAACACCATCTCACCCAATAGATCCATTTCCATGAAAATTCCACCCCCATTCACCCCATCCACCCGAAAATCCCACCCCCTTCCTCTATTGAAGCAGCACATACAAAAATAAAAATAAAAAATAAAAAATGAATCAAAGACTTAAATTATTTATAATTGCACTCAATAAATCCCCCCCAAAATAATTGATGATTTCACCACAATTACAAAAGTTGTAATGTGAATTTTAAATGAAAACGGAGGTAGTGGCTATGTGGTATCGCACAACTACCGACGATGATGGGCCACGACATGATTTTGGGCTGTTATGAGTGGCATCGGGTAAGGGAGGGCGTTGAGGCTAGTCCATGAGTAGGCTAGCTAGCCGGGTATATTCAGGTGGCTAGTTGTAATACTCCGTATTTTTATAATATTTTATTTATAAATTAAAATGATTCATTTCATTTTACAAGAATTAATTATTTTAAAATAAAATAAGTGTGTATAAAATAATATGAGTCATTAATTGGGACAATAAATTATTTTTAAATTGGGTTAACATCAATTAAATTATTGGATCAACTTGTTGGGAATTAAAGAACACTTAAAAGCCTAACAAGTTGGCCTCAAAGGAGAATTCAAGGAGGAGTAGGATTAGTAATGACAGTTTTGTAAATAAGTGTTTTTGTTAAAAAGGGGACATAAATACCCCTAAACCTCAAGAATTTCACAGTAAAAAATTATATTGTTAGATTTCACAAAACTCCAAAAAATTTCCTCTTATTTTCTCTCACCTTATCTCTCTCTCTTTCCCCACGCCTCTCTCTCTCTTCCTCCCACACGCCACCGGCGACCAACCGACAGCCACCACTGGCCACTAGCTCACGCCGGCGATCAGCAGCAACCGCCAGCCACCGGCTGTCCTCCCTCTTCTCTCTCTTCTTTTCGGTTTGGTACAAAAGGAAAAAAAAACTCTCTTTCCTCCTAATTTAATTCTAGCTTGTTTTAATTAATTCAAAGCATGATTTTGATTATATTTTTATGTTGATTTTGGGTAGTTGGTGTTATTATTTTATTCCTAAAATTTTTCAGATTTTAATTAAATAAAAAAACCCCAATTTACAAACCCTAGAATTTGGGAATATAATGTTTATGGTTAGGGTTTGATACTAGGTTGTTGTGGTTGTTAAATTAATGATTTAAACATGTTTTTAATGAGTTTTAAGCCCTCAATTAATGCTGGAATTTAATTATACACACTACTTTTTAATTATTATAGGGTTTGATTACCCATAAAAGAAAAAAGGTTCTTGATGATTTAAATATGATTTCCTAGTCTATTAGTGATGTTTTATATTAAATAAGTATGCTGGAATTTTATTTAAGTCATGAAAACTAAGTCTTTTTGAAAGGATTTTAAGTACCCACTTAAAGAAAAGGTTTTAAGGCTTAAACCATTAAATTGGGTTAATTAGTGAGGTTTAAAGTATATATTATAGTTGCTATAAATTTGTGAGAATAGTGGATTAATTATAGTTATGTATTTTTATTTGTAGGAAGCTTTGAGCTATGTGATTTCTAGCGAGTGTGGCCGAGTTTAGGCACTATTCAAGGTACGTATGCGCATAAGAATATTTATGCATGCGTAGTATCATGCTAGGATTGTAAAGTATGTTTCAAGTGATGAATTAGTATAGCATGTTTGGTTGATTATATGCTTGGATTTGATGTTAGTTGATCATGAATTATTATGCAAGCATGTGAACATGTTATTTGAGACATGATACAAGTTGAATATATATGAATCATGAAAATATGTTTTATTTTCAAGTATCAAGGAAGCATGAATAAAATAAGCCTTTCTTATATATGTTTAAAAGAGCTAAAGTTAGAATTATTGATCATAGTTCATGATTTTTATTTCTGATCACACATATTATTGGAGTTGAGCCAAAAAGTTAGTTTATTTATTTACTCACTCATATAAGTTGAGATTGAGTCAAAGAAGTTTATTATAGCATTTTATGCACCAAGGTAGTAATAGTGCAATTATGTGCACAAAACTAGGCAAGGAACCTTAATTAAAATAAATTGTATGTGCCCACTAGTTAATTCAAGAATGAAATGGAAATATGTGTTGATGATTGTTATGTTTATTCTTGATTGATTGGTTGGAGTCATCACAAGTTAAATTGGTAAATCACGTAAAGTGTAAGAGGATACGCACTTAAACTCTTGGAACGTATACACCTAGAGTATGAACATATGGAGGGGAGTTATGGGGTTTTATATTTAACCATAGCTTCTACCGGGGTACCGGACGCTGTACTTTCTTTTATTATTAATGCGCTGGAATTTCGTCACAAGGTGACATAGTAGGTGCCAATTGGGGTAGCTTCCTAATTGGAAGCTCAATATTTTTTATGGGCTATTTTCAATGAAGGAAACCCGTTCGACGCGTAATCTAAAATTATTATATAATTATTTATATTGTTAGTTATGATTCAAAGGTAATAAGTTGACTTGTGAAATTATATAATAATTGATATTGTTAGTTATGAGTCACAAGGTAATTTACTGATTCATACTTTTGTGTTTGACTTTCCTTTGGATTGGCCCTACTATGACCCATTTATATGATGAGTAAAGGGGTTGAAATAAAGAAAAAGTAACAGGTACTTGAAGTATGAAGAGCATGAAGGGAATGAGTGCATAGAGTTACTTATGCTTTCTTAGTTTTATTTATTGAAAATGATTATTATTTATCAATTAAC